CTGAGGCTACAGCAGGCTAAAGCTTTGACTTCTTCGCAGGTCTATGCGTCCAATTTGGAGTTATAATATGAGTCCCTCTTTAGAGAAGTGAAAGTTCTATTGTACGAGGTGCCGGCTACGGAATCCCCAATAAGGATTGGGCGATTTCAGTGTACATGTCGAAGCAGAAATGCAAATTGGAAAGGTGGTGAAAGATCAGCTCTAGTGACCTCAACAATAATGGCATGAAGTTGCTGCGGTTTTGTGCAACTTTCGTCTGTTATGAACACTTTTTTCGAGCATCGAAGAGTGCATCAGTACACCTGATACAGGGAAGCTTGAGTACGGAAGTCAGTGATCGATTCCATAATGACCATGACTGAAAAACTTAACTTCGATCCCGGCTACGAGCGGCCCTAATAGGTTTTCTGTGACGAATTGCGGGCCTTATGCGTCTCGATGTGGTTCAGAATGCAGACATCCGTGAGAACCTTGGTGTACAGCCGGTGCTTTTTCAGATTAGAAAGTCACAGATGCGATGGTTTGAGCACGTGTTGGGAATGCCTCCAGAAAGAAAGGCGTTGCAACTACTACTTGCCCCCCGGCAGAAGACTCAGGTTACGGCCAAGATTAATCTAGTGCAATGTATTGAAGGACTCTGCTCTAGACTGCGGTTGTCTTATGCCGAAGCTCAGACGCTGATAGAGGATCATGAACGTTTTATGCACTGTTTCCGCGATCCGAAATGAGAAGCGGTCTTGGAAGCTGAAGTGAAGTCGTATCACTGCTATTAATCCAGTATGCAGGTAAACTGTACCGCGGTTTCCGCTTCCCTACGTTTCCGTATGTCGCAGGGCCTCTTTAGGGCAAATCTTTTGATGAAATTGGTTATTTTTTTTTTTGGAAACACGTGCAGCAGTGGCTTGTTTTGATGCCTGTCGTCGTCTCACTACTGTTTGTACTATTTGTACTCCTATTATTGCTAGTAGAAATATAGTGCTACAAAGTTTTATTCTGTGGTAGTACCATCAGATACTTATGTGCAACTCCAATTGCTTGTGGAATTTGCCATTGTACCTATGATATTAACCTTAAGTCTAATATGTAAACGCAGTAATTAATTTTGTTGCCACCAATAGTGATATGATTAATACCACTGTCTGTGCTAACAGTATCATTAGTAATAACAAAAGTATTAGTAGTAAAAGTGGTAGTGAGGAGCTGAGAAGCCTCTGTGACAACCACTTGTTGCAAATGATTCAAACTTTTAACAGATTTTCCTTGAATGGGG